GTGGGGGAGGGGCTGTGAAGACCGGCGACGTGTGAGGTGGGGGAGGACAAAATTGGAAAAAGAAGACTCTGAATGGTTGAGTGAAGCCTCATATGCAAAATGGTTAAGAGGGGTTGTGTAACTATTAAGAGCCTTTTTTTTTGCCAAACACTCTTTACCTCTTACCGATTAAGAGGTTGGCTTTTAATGTAACCATTAAGAGCCAAACAAACAGCCCCTAACAGTATTTTACATGCCAATGTTTTTCTTTGCAAATGTAACGATAATATAGTTTTGATAAAGATAATATTTTTACTTTTGAATAAAAATATATCTGAAGATATAAAAATTTGAAAAAATATATATCAATATTAATATTAAATTAACTATTTAAAGGTTCTCAGTTTTTATACAATTTCTTTAATTCAATTTTTTATTATAATTTAATTTATGTCTAATAGCGAATTAATTTATTTTTTTGGATTTAACGATATAATTTTTTATAAAGATAATTATTCTGTTAGAACTCAATGATTATCCCAATAATATTTTAAACTTTTTATATTTAAAATAAGATTTTTGGTTATGTTTATCTGTAGTTAGTTATACGAATTCAAAATAAAGCTTTAATAAGTTGTATTTGTGCACAWTTTACTTRTAATCTTAAATTTTAAGTAATATGCATTAAGAAACAGTACTTTATGTATAAAAAATGGTTTGATCATCAAAAAGAAAGTTTTATTTTTAGCTGTTAGAATACATGTACAACTCAAACTACAGTGTGTTATAGATATAGAACGGGAGTTATTGTACTTTTCATGCATCAAACACTGCTTTACAGCAATAATATCGACTACAAGAATTGCATGTTTCCTTGTTGCAAAACAGAACGATGAGCTTTTGATGAAAAATCAGTAGTCTTATCTGACAAGATTAATGGCATTCCTCGATAGTAAATGCTACAGATACTGATAGTCTTAAAAGTAATATATGTGGTCATGGTCATTTTGGTTAAGCCCATTGAAAACAACATCTGAATATGTGATCTACATCAAAAAAAAAAAATAATAATAATAATCTAAACATTAGCAAGATTCAGTTCATCTCCCAGAAAAAGAACATTTGAATGAGGTCGAGCCAGACCCGTTTCTGACATTTTTTAACATTTGAATGAGGTCGAGCCAGACCCGTTTCTGACATTTTTTA